TTGCTGTAAACGCAACTTAGGCATGCGATGTCTTTTAATAGCATGAATTATAAGCGTGCTTAAAACACTGCTAGTTTCGAAAAGAAGAAGACTCGAACCTTGAACCTTACTGCTAGCTTTGCCTAGACAAGTGTATATGCGAGTTCCAGAAAGCAGTTTAAAAGAAGAAGAGAATACGACCACTAGAATTAACGTTTTGTTTTTCTGACGTTTCGGAGTTGGTTTGGGAATATTTGATCATAGGTAATGGTAGGTTAGTCTGAGTCAGGCGCAGATAGGGGTGGAGCATGCACAGATTGCACAGTATTCATAGTTCGTAGCGGTCATCCGCGTGCGTACTATAATTACCCATTCTTGTAGCCACCCCCTGGGTTTTAATTGGTGCCGTGATGACTTGACACTTCGCGTTCGATTCACTAATGGCCGCGATTTTCTTGTCCGTCCGTTGTTGGTAATTGCGCGACAATTATGCTCGCTGTTGTCCGAGTTGTTGCTGGGCCTAGCCCCTCCACGTGACTGGTCCCTTGCTCAGACAATTTCTCAGCATGCAGTAGAGAAACCCCAAACGTCGCGTTAGCCGCAAGCTGCTCAAGTCATGGTTCCCAGCCCACAGACCACCGACGACCGAAATGATTAGGCGTTCCCGTACTACGGACTGAGAAATTGCTGGAGCAATAAAATAAAACATGTGGGAAGGGCCAGGCCCAGCAACAATTCTAACGACATCGACGATAATTGTCAGGTAATTGCCAAGCCCGCTTCCGACATGTACAATGAAATCGCTACAATTAGTGAGTCGAACGCGAATTGTCCAGTCTTAACTGCACTTATTGGGGTCCAAGTTATGTCTGCAATGATGTAGAATTAAACTACACACAGATGAACCATACGAACTATAAACATGTGCAATGTGTGCATGTTTCATCCCTATCTACGCATGACTCAGACTATGATAAAGGATTCACGATGAAATGTGAGAAGTCTCGAAAATAGGCAAAACAATATTTTTGTTGTTAATATGACGTTAGCCTGCTATGATTCAAAAGGATGGGATGGTGATATGATGAGAACACCTGAGGATTTGAAAAATTCTTTGTGATGAAAGCCATCCTATATTTTAACGGAGGTGTGACAGGACGAACTCATCTGGGACAATGGAGAGAGAGGACAATACAGTAGACGCCACAAATCAAGCAACATTTCGACATGGGCAAAATATTGATACTCTTCCGCGTATCGGTACTGACTCAGGATGTGATACTGATTATCTTGTAGTCTATTCTGAAGTTTATTCCGTCATGATAGGATGCGGGAATTTTTAACGAGCTTCCGATCTGACTACCAGTAAAAAGTGTGCATTGTAAAAACTGCCTTCTTAAGCAGCATGCCTTTGTATCATTGATTTGGACTGCCTTTATAAATTCAGACATGTCTCCGAGGTTTTGAACTCTCTCACGAGCTCATTGTCAAGGAATGAAAAAACGTACAGCTCACGCTGTAATTAAGTAGACCGACCGATCCTTTCCCCAGAGGCACCCCCAAGTGGTTGTTTGAACGTCTCAACTTTCTTACCCAGGGCTCAGCAACGACCGTCAGCTCAGCTGAACAATTCATACAACAGCTACAGGATATTCAACTAACACCTGACGAAGTGATGGTATCTTTCGATGTGACATCACTTTTCCCCTCAATACCACAACATCTTGCGGTTAAAACCATCCAAACCCTGTTAGAAGAGAAGTTCAACGAGACGGACTCGAAGCTCAAAGTAAAGCATCTCATTTGACTCCTGAAACACTGTTTGAGCACCTAATTTACCTTCAATGGAACGGTGTATGAACAAGTAAAGGGTACACAGATGAGGTCGCCGTTATCTGGTCTGATTGCTGAAGCAGTACAAAAGAAAGAAAAAGAAGAAGAATGCTATATTGAGGATTTTACAAACCTGAATTTTC